AATGCTGCGTTTTATTAATATTATATTAACACGAATTATAAAATCGAAAAATTTTAATCTAATTGAAAATCATGAAAATCGAACGATTAATCTAATTGAAAATCATGATAATCCAATTAATAATAAATTCGATAATATACGAAGAGTATCGTTTCGCACTACTATCTTGCTCGAGTGTCGCCATGTGAATGATACCAAGACCGCGAAATGTAAACATTAGCGCTTTTAGCTATTGTATACGCCATCAAGACCAAACATTGTATTATTGTCTATTCGAAATATTTTACGTACTTTGACAAATATATACGCGAAATTATAAAATCAAAAAATTAATTTAATTGAAAATCATTCATGATAATCGTTCAATTAATAATAAATTCGATAATAGACGAAAAGTATCGTTTCGCACCACTATCTTGCTCGAATGTCGCCATATGAATGATACCAAGATCGCGGAATGTAAACATTATCGCGCTATTGTATACGCCGTCAAGGCCAAACATTGTGTTATTGTCTGTTCGAAATATTTTACGTATTTTGACAAATATATACGCGAAATATTTTAAAGCATAGAAATTTAGATTTTAAATGATATAGATTAATTATATGATTATTTATTGAAGGATCACTTTCATTATGTTAAATATATATTTATATTTACGATTTGATCGTTTTACTGCACGATCTCAATTTGAATTACATTTAAATAATCAAAAAATAGTCACGAATGATTTATATTTGACCAAGACCGGATTTAATGGGGGGGGGGAGGGGAGGGCAACAGGAACTGAAGCCCAGGGGCCTCCACAAGAGGGGAGCCTCCACAACACAAATTTTTGGGTAAAATTTCCTATCGAATGGTATACAACACTTACAAGATATATATATATATATATATCTATGTATATTACTTGACCTTGTTATTTCACAATAAATTATTTAAATAACGTAAAAATTTCTATTTGAGTTTGGTTTAAAAATGGTTAAAGGTCTCCTTTAAATTCGACCCTGTATACAGCAATATATTCTCAAATATTATCATAATGATTTTATGCTATTGATAAACATCATGATGAATAACTTAAATACAAATTGAACTTATAGTATACATATTACTTTTATATTTTCTGTGGTTATAATAATTGATTATTGTGATCTTCACTTATACTTGGAATAATATTTCTAAGATCAATAAATTAAATTAAACAAAAAAATGATAGGTGAAAATATTCGAAATAGTTAAGTATTTTTATAAATATAAATGCTCTTGAAAAATCCTAATTATCTTATTTTTAGATATCTTTAAATAATAATAATTAATAATAATAATAATAATAATAATAATAATAATAATAATAATAATAATATTATTATTATTATTATTATTATTATTATTATTATTACGGCGCTATATTAAGAATATTGTACGATAGCGGCATAACGCCGCTATCTTACAATATTCTTATGCGTTGTAATAATGTGAAAAATTTTATTCTGCACTAAAAATCATATTTCTTCCGTCAAAAGCATTTCCTTAAAGAAAATTTTGACAAGAAGGCTAAAGGTTGGTGCCCTATATATATATATATATATATATATATATATATATATATATATATGTATATATTCTAAACAAATTTATAAATATATATTGATGTTAAATATAAAAAACATGTATCAAGTTTTTCATAAAATATCTAGAATATATTGCATATACATTCTAATATACATTCATATAAGGCAGATCATTATTACATTTTTTTGCGCGATCGAACTTTACGGATATGTGAGTCACATGAGTCGCACGTGACGCAATTAAAAACAGCTAATTCGAATCATAAGAATCTAATTTATGAGGAAGACGTGTGGTGCGCCATACGATATCACACGCCTTTGCTAGAGAATCGTATAACGAGATTATGCTACTATGAATCAATTGTGTTATTATCTTCATAATACGATTTATTCTGCTCTCGCATCCCAGCACACATTCGCGCAATAGCTCATTTCTATGTTTTTTTCTATGACATTATTTCACATCTTTGTACAGAAATATTATATCTTATATTAAATCTTATATTATCCCATTTCATTTTTTATATTTACATATGTTTAAATATTGATATAAACATTTATATGCCTTTCTATTTTTTAAAATAATTTATGATTACATTTATTACTTGTTGATGACTAATTTGTAAAAAAAGATTATGACATAGAAATTGTCAGCGCAGTCACAAAATTGTATATGTACAATCACGGATAAAATTTATTAATTCATAATATACAACTATAAAATAATTGTAAAACAAAAAATAAACTAGAAAAAAATTAAATAAATAAAAATAAATAAATAAATAAAATAAATAAAAATGTAAAATTTATATAAATTACATAAATATATAATTATTAAATAATTAAAAATTACAATTTTTAAATAATTACATAACAAAAAGAGAAATTTTTTCTATGAAAATATAGAAATTTTTTTCTATAGTTGAAATTATTTTTAACCGATAACAAAAAAGAGACTTCATACTGAACATTTTTTTGTTAAATTTATATATGCGAAAATAATCTAATTTATAATAAAATATATTGATTAATTTTTTAACTTATAATACTCTAAGTATATACATATTATATATAAATATATATAAATATAAATATATTATAATAAACATATTAAATATAAAATATAAATATTAAATAAATGCGTCGTTCATATGTCATCGTGTGCTATCACATCTATCTCATCCACTAATTTCGAATATGTATAATATTATAATATATCTATAAATATTACATGAATCAATTATGTTGCATACATTATTTTGTATATTCTCAATTATTTTTATCTTTTCTCAATTAGATATAAAATCGCACATTATATCTTTTAATTCAGTTTAATTCTCAGTCTTTTCGTTCGAAGAAATTTAAAAAATAAGTCGAGACTATATCATTATATCTTCGTTTTCCTGTTATTATGTGCGTTTATATGAAGTATGTTTGATGAATACAAACTGCATTTTAATTTTATCCATTAATTACCTGGTTTTGACGGGTATCAACACCTATATAAGATGTTAAAAAGTTACCGTATAATGGCAAATTCTTAAGATTATTTGGAGAAGATTTTTCCTCAGTCAAAATGTTGACGAAAGTTACCTTTTTACAAGTTTTTAATTTTTACCATCATATATCTTTGTAACTTTGTAAAATTAAATTTAAAGTTAAAGTTTTAAATTAAAATTCTATTAAAGTAATCTCATCTCTGAAATTAACTAAAGAATGTAGTTTTGATAATCTTTTAATTCTCTCCAACATAAAGTTTAATTTGTGAAGAACTTTTCTTTTCGAATTGTTTATATTTTTGTAATTATTAATGCCGTGACATTTTTATTGAAAAAAGCTCTCTAAATAATCCTGATATTTTTATTGAGAAAAAAACCCTCCAAATTAGCAGATAATGATCCTTATATAATAATTATAATAAATGATTAATTGATTTTTTGCAGCATTAATATTCAATAAATGTTTTTTTCAATAAATTCCTCTACTGTGCATATATATATATATATATATATATATATATATATAACTCCAATTAGATTTCGGAGTAATACAATGAACAAATAATGAAAATGTTTAATTATACCAGGTATATATATATATATATATATATATATATATATATGTATATATGTATATATGTATATATATGCACGCACGCACGCACGCACGCACGCACGCACGCACGCACGCACGCACGCACGCACGCACACACATATATATATATACCTGGTATAATTAAACATTTTCATTATTTGTTTATTGTATTACTCCGAAATCTAATTGGAGTTTTGGTAATTCTTACAAAATGTAATGATGTCCAATCGAAATATTAAAATAATAAATGTTAAAATTTATATTGATTTTTCAAGATGCTCAAATTATTATATATAGAAATTTATCATATCGTTTTTTTGTCGTTAAATATGTCATATGGTTTGCATCAGATTACTTGAATGCTATCGACGATTCATCGTCCTTGGTAATCTTATCCTGTTATTCAAGTACATGTTTTTTTATAAAAGATTCTTTTCTTTATCAAAAATCAGAATCGAACATGAAATTAAGTCATATCACCACTACCTGACCTATCGTTATTTTTAAATTTCAATTAAATAAATAATCATGAGATAACTGTTAAAACACAAATCTTGAATTCAAACCGGTTTTTATATTAATAGATTATTACCGGAGCGGAATTTTAGCGAATACATACCTACCAGATACCTACCAGAGCAGAGTTTTAGCGAATAATGATAACTGATATATTAGCGCATTTTCTACAATCTTTATATAATATTTTGCTTCTTACATCTTTTTTGTAACTTAGAAATAACAATAAAATTAATAAATTTCTTAGATATAAATAGAATCTTTCTTAAGCATATGCTATATTGATTGATTTTTAAAAGAAATGTTTTAACTCAATATTTAAATAACTAAAACATCTAATATAAGTTTACAAAATATTATAAGTATATTATAATATAAATATATAAAATGATGTCTTATTTTTGGATGTGTGTGTGTGTGTGTGCTGCTGTATATTAATGTGTTTTCTATTTTTTAATGTATCTTTAAAATAGTATCTTTAAAAATATAAAGGCTTTTATTCAAGCATTAAACATTTAAAATACAGCATTATTTCGCTGCTTAATTAATCAGCTATCGTCTGTAGAAGTTTGCCAATGAAATTTTACGTTGTATATGTCATAGTTATATGTATGTGTATAATAGTAGATAGACAGTTCTTTTACTACTCGTACAACTTGTCGTCCTCGGTTAGTCTCATCTTCTCGTTTGTGCGGGCACATGTTTCTTGCGCATTCTTCTTTCATTCGTCTCGAAAGGAGAAGTCGAAACCGGATGTAGTATTAATTTTATTGAACCTAGTGAGATAATAAAAATTGATCGTGTTGGACAATAAAGTTATTAAAAGCTTTTAAAATCAAATATTTAAAAATGAAGCATTCACGCATGTTATTCATTCATTAAACTATATATTCTAAAAAGAAATAAAAGAATATGATTCAAAAGCCTAACAACAGTTCCCAGCATTACATTACTAAAAGAATCAAAATATCTTTCGGTCCTTATCGAGGTTCTGTTCTATCAGCATTAATTCTCTACTAACAGACATATGCGGTAGTAAATTCTGCAATAGTAACTTCTTCGATCGTAAAAATTAAGACAAAATGGTTTGTCATGATCAAATCATCGGGAATATTAATGTAATTCTTTTATAACGATATTAACTATATTTTCCAATTCGTAATGCACATATCGTTGCATTTGAACATCTGACTATAAAATTACTGTAGATAAGAATCTGATATGTATTTTTCAGGTGTAAATTCAATCCAAAATGATAATATTAACAATGTGTGAAAAAAATTTCAAGAAATTTTGGTGTTATGCATTTTTTCTACTCATCACTTCGTTATCGAAATCTGAGCAAAGTTTCACGAGCAACGAAGAGAAAAATGATAATATAACGATACGATATGAGTTAGACTCTACAACAAACTATGGCGACAAAATAAAAACACTGTCTTATGATTTGTATGAAAAATCTATTAACAATACGCAGTACGACAATATGCAGAATAAATTTCATACTATTTCCATGAGTAATGATGATAACACGATACGATATAAACTTAGCACATCTTCTACACAGAATCATATGAGTGATAAACAAATACCGATGGGATCTCAAACAAATTCAACAAATGCCAACTATAAAAGAAATTTTACATCACAGGAAATTTATGGAAATTTGATGAATATTGAAGACAACAATAATTCTACGTCACACGAATTTTTTGAAAATTCCAATAAAGAAAGCAATATAAGTAACATCGTTTCATATGAAACATGTCAACTTGACAATATTACTTGCATTCAACTCTGTTGTTCTCCTGGCGATCGCCTAGATGACGACATATGCATCCCGGAAAAAATTAAATACTTTCTTCCGAATGTGTATAAATACACAAATGATTCGTTGCAAAGCGAAAATAAAACGGTAGACGAATTGTTTCAACTGACTATTTATGATCCATGTCAGGAAAATCGCATTCTGCTTCCCTATGGTTTTCAATACGATTACATGTTTTTTGCTAACGGTTCTCTCTATATATCTTATTATAAAATATTTGCTAAGCCGACATCATATTGTCTCGCAATTACAGAGGGAGATAAATTCGAAGTAACTATCTGCTCAGAGACTTATCACGAGATCCTTAAAATAGCTGATGATCAAAAAGCTGATGTCGATAATAAAAACTTGTCGGTTCAAAACATAAAAATCATACATATGAGCTTCCATATTGTATCTATACTATTTTTGATATCAATATTTCTGGTGTATTCCATATTGCCAGATCTCCGGAACGTACACGCTTTCATGTTGCGCAGTTATAGCGGTATTTTGTCCGTCGCATACACAATCGACATTGCAAATATTTTTATTAAATCGGATGCTGTAGAGTATTCCATTTGTGTTACAATAGGTATAGTATATCTAAATCATATAATTATGCAATCAACATATGTGTTTGGTAGACATACTAGTGCACATTCGCCAAATAATTATTCTCTAATTGTTCTTTTTAATAACTTGAAAATAATTTGTTAAAATTTAAAAAATGCAAGAATTAATAGTGAGTAAAATTTAAATTTTAGTTATATTTTAATATATAACTTTAACGTGCACGTGTATATAATTAAGTTAGTTATGTAAATATATTTTTTTTGTATTTTAAAAGAGTTATATCTTGAATTGAATTATTATTTAATTTAAATCAGTACGTATTTATTACGTAATATTTATTATATATGTTAATATTATATATGTAAAATTTTAGTTTAGAAAAATATATATGTTTTTTTAAAGAAAAATTATAATGGTAATTATAAATCCCATTTTGATATGTTGTTAATGTTTAAAATGTTATTTATTTTATTTTCATAGCTTCCTTCCAATACTTTTGCTTTTTAACAAGCTTTTTCTGGCTAAATATAATGAGTTTCGACATGTGGTGGACATTTAGGTAAGTTGTTACGTTTTTCATATTATCTTTATCTTGCATAATATTAACTTAATTTTGTATTGATTTGTGTTATAAAATACGACACTACAATATAATTTTCTGTAATATATAAATGTATTTTTTTGTAGTATATACATACAATGGGAAGACAAAAACACGAAATGATATCATTGAATTAAACAAATAGAGTTGTTTATCATATTATGTTATTACGTGATAGTATAAGCAACTACTTGGTTTAAGAAAAGTTTATAGTCTAAAGATAATTAAATTATAACTTCAAATAAACAGTTTTTATCATTACATGAAGGTTTTTAAATGATTAATTTCTATTTTTGGTAAAATCAAATTAAATTTTTCAAAATAAAAATAACATATTAGTTAATGATAATTAATATTAAACATTATGAAATATTTATAAAATATTATTAACTAGTTTAATAATTCGCGACATAATTTAAAAAATTTTTTTTAATGTAATAACATTTTTTTAATATGTTATAAATTAATATTTATATTTATGTATTTAAAATATGTATCTATATATCGCTTTAATTTCTTTTCTTTTTCTTATATAGAAAAAATATTAATAAATTTTTAATTTTTTTATCAAAAATATGTTTCTTACAACTAAATTACAATTTAAATTACCATTATCATGTCTACACATGATATATAAATGTATGCTAGTTTCTGAATGTTATACCAATCAAATTGATCTTAATTAATTATGTATCGATATCTTATATATTGATATCTTATAATAAGATCAATCGTATGATTGTCGTATTATGTAAATCTACTTTTGTAGAATGGATATTTGAGAAAACCTCGATGAAAGGCAAACATTATTTTAACACGCATTTACATTGTAATTTCTTTTATCTGATTTTTATTTTGATTAAATATGACGTGTAAATTACATTTTGCAGAGGATTTTCTTCGTTACAAAGAAACGTCAGAAATCGAGAAAAAAAAAAGTTAATTCTTTATGCTATCTGTGCATGGGGTATACCTTTTATCCTCGCTATTATCTGTATCATTATGGATTTTGCTTCCGAAAATTTGCCGAAAATTTTGCAACCGGGATTTCACGCAGGTGATTGCTGGTTTGCTGGTAAGTGAATAGATTGCATCTATTATAGAATCGATTTATTATATATATCATTATTTTTTATTATCTATTAATGTTGCATTTTTATATATCATGAGAAATAGAAAATTCTTTACATATTATACTTACAGAGAAAGGAACGTTTTTATTGTATTATTACGGAATCAAAAGTATCTGTATCATTAGTAGCATTTGCTTATCCATTTCTACGGCAGTGAAGATCGCGCGTTACGAAAAGGAAACAGGCCTTCGTTTGACAGATTCAGAAAGCAAGCAATATAATGACAATAAGAAGTGGTCTGTATCTAATAAATATTTATGAATGTGTAATAATCTATCTTGTAAATGATATTCGTGTCGATATTTTTAATAACATCTCTATTAACAACATTATATAATCAATCAATTCTAATAAAAAAAAGGTATGATAATTTGTGTGACAGTATTTTTGCTTCTTTTTTTTCTTTTAATTAATATCTTTTTAAAAAGGCATATCGTTGATACCGGAAAGTCTCGAAGTGTGTTTTTCGCATTGTTGATTGATTGTTTTATTCGTTTTACTCGTATCATTCAAATAATTTGACAGTTTGACAGTTTGTAACAAACACTTAAAAGAAATAAAGTTAAAAAAAAGGAAAAAGGAAGATAAAGGAGAAAGAGAGGCGAATAGAAAGATATATATATATATATATATATATAAATAAATATATATATATAAATATATATATATATATATATATATAATATATATATATAATATATATATATATATATATATATATATATTATATATATATATATATATATATATATATTATATATATATATATATTATATATATATATATATATATAAAAATTTATATATATATATATTTATATTAAAATTAAATTTGAAAAAAGAAGATAAAGTTTCGCATATATAATTTTTTTGTAAAATTTTATATGCAATTATATATAAAATATATAATCTAATCAAAAAAAGGTAAAGTGAGAATCACATTATTATATATAATAGGAGCATGCAGAAACACAATTGCTCACTGATTGTGAGCTAAGAAGCAATGTAATGTGATTGATGAATTCAAAAATAAAAATAAAAAAGATAACTTGATTAATAATATTTATAATTGTTATTATATGTATGTTTGTTTGCAGGTTCAATTTGTATCTGAAGCTATTTATCATGCTGTTTATAGTAATTGGCATAAAATGGTCCCTGATGACAGCAACATGGTTGTCTGAAAATATATCAAATACCACCTCATATGCTATTGTTAATTTGATAGACATTGTACAAAATTTCTGCACATTTATCATATTTGTGTGCAAAAAGAAGATCAAACAGATGTTACTGAAGCGATTCGGATGCAGTGGATTTATTACAAAAGCTCGATCCCCAACGAATACAATATCGTCAGGTACTTCAACTCACACTATTACATTAGGAGAGATGTCTATGCAAGAAAAGATAAATTCTTGTGGACAAAGGAATTATCACGTGAAAAATTTAACCGATGGAACTGATCTCTAATGTTGCAATTCTAATGTGCAAAATAAAGTTTTATAGCAGATCAGGAGTCAACAGTTCATCAGCAATTAATTATAATCTCATAATTTTCAAAACGAAAATTAATTTTACAATCTTAAACACTGATCTTCTTCTTTTAATCTTGAATAAACTTAACTTAAAATTTTACATAGAATATTTTTTCCACACAATTCCTTTTTTTACTATCTTACTAATTTTTATATTTTAAAATTTATTTATAAGCGTTTATTAATATTATTTACGCCTTAAAAAGATATTAAAGGAAGGATAGTTATTCTCGTAGGATATCAAGAAAATACTGCAAACTATCGTTTCTTCAATCCCAGTACCAAAAGAATTACGGTAATTAGAGACGTTACGTTCAACGAGAAGAGTACTTATACGACATCTTCAATTGAGGAATCCAAAGAATTTGAATCAATGATACCGAAAGACAAGGGTAGCGATGAAAAAATTATATGGGGAAGGATCAGCGGATCACATTAAATATCACATATTCTAAAATAAGTAATATTTAAAAAAATAATTATACTAATTATTATTACGAGTAAACTTTTTAGTAAGTTTTTCACTCACCTTTAAAAAATAATAAAGAAATTACAAAGTTGTTCGAGAAAGTCTGTATTATATTATAAAGCCGTTAGATTTAAAAGTCTTCTCGAATAATTCTCGAATGGAATATTATTTTTGCCTGGAATGTTATTTTGTGCTTAATTCCGATAATTATCCGGACAACGAGTACATATTCTTAACTAATGGCTCTCTGTATCAGCCGCATCACGATAAACTTATTTGCTCAACGTCCTATTGTCTTGCCATCGTGCATCGTTATAAATTCGATGTAATCATTTGCATTGACATCAAAAACGAAACTATAAAGGAAAGCATAAGCAAGGTCATGAACGGAAGTATCAACGAAATGATAAACGAAAATGTAGATAAATGGTTAATTAATCATGTCATCATACTTTTTATTCTCAATGTTTTGTCTCTGCTTATTCTTTTAATGACGTTTGTGGTTTATTCCGTATTACCAGAGCTCCAGAATATTCACATGCTACGTAGATATGGATCGATGTTTGTTGGAGGAATGTGCTGGGAAGTAATTCAACTCATTCAATACCAGGATATTGACAATTTTGCTTGCTTCGCATTGGATACTATTTAACAATGCAATTAACAAAGCATATATGTCTATCAGACTCATCAGTTAATTATTATTTTTTAATTAGTACACATGCACACATATATAAAATAATTGGAATTTGTAAATTATAAAAAAATTACCAATTAAAAATACATTAAAAAACAAATTTGCATTTTGCATTTTAAAGTACAATCATTTTAATTTTGGATTCTTATCCAATGATTTTTATTTAATAATCTCTGTGTTCAGGATTTCAAAAAATAGTAATACTGCACATAGAGAAACTATATTTTCTTTCATCTTTTTCTTTATATTTTATTCTTCAAAAAATTATTTATAGTCTATTTAATTTCTTTTGCAGTCTAAAAAAGTATTATATAAGAAAATTATATATACGTAATCTTTTATATTATACTTATAATATACTTATTCTTTTTATTTTTATATTATACTTATATTATACTTATTCTTATAATATTATTATATAATTCGATGTTATATAATGTCTTATAGAGTTGATAGAATTTTAAAATTGTGTATGTGCTATGTATGCGTATATGTCTGAATATATATTATATATGTGTATGTTTTGTGTGTGTGTTCCTATAGATGAATCAATTATTTTTATTTTTATTCTAGTAAAAGATTAATTTCTAATATAAGATATACTCCATTTTGTAATATATAAATATATATATATATATGTATATATATAAACATAAAGCATATCAGTCATAATCAGCCATATATGTGACTTTTCTACATACGTAATTTTCATATTTCTATGATTAACAGTGCAATTATATACTATATCTTTTGATATGATTAAATCACTAATATTCGTTTTGCTTTCAAAAAGCGTAAGATAATCGAGTGTTTCTATTTTACGATAAAAATTAGAATCGAGTAAATAAAAATATATTTTATCGCTATTTTCAGTGAAATAAACGATTAAAATAATTAAATGTAATAAATTAAATAATGTAATAAATGCAAAGTAACTTGGCGCTGTTATAATAATTTTCAATTATTTTACTTATTTATATTATTCTGACACAATATCTAAATAATGATAATATTTTTTTGTTATGAGTTTTATAAATTTTATGATTTAATTGAAAATACTTGTAACTGGGATAGTTCGCATATAAATATAATAAGTTCGCATTTTTTTGTGCATTACTTGGCATAAGACTACCAATCTGCCTGCCGGTACATGTAGATCATTATGATCCTCTGAAAAAAAACAGGTAAAAGATATTGATATGTGTTATCTTAATCGACGGTTTTCGACAAAATTTATAAAATTGTAATGTATTGTAATATAATGAAAACATGTTGTATTAAGTATATAAATTAACTACTTATAATCTCACAGATTTCTATATGTCAGTTTTGTTTTAATATATGAACATTATTAATCATGTTAGAAAAAATATCGTGACCGACAATTTTAATCTTAATTAACTCTAAATAAAACATAACTTATTTTATATGCTAGTTTTTTATGACCTTTGATTTTTCATTGTTTTTAATGTTTTAAATGTTTAATTAAATTCAAAAATACTAAAAATATACATAATAAATATGGAGATACATATGTGAGATATATATATTTTTAAATATATATTTAAATATATATATATATATATATATATATATATATATATATAAATATACACTACCCTCCACAAGTTTGGAAACACCTTGCATTTTACAGATAAACAATCGCAAGACAGCAATTTATGCAGATTTCTCATATGAATATATTGTAAGATGTTTAAATGACGATATGACGTCTGTTTATGCCGAAAATATGTCGAATAATTATTACGCGGCACTAAACTGCTCGGAGTTAAATGTGTTTCATTGCAACAATATTTATTGCTAAATGTGACGCCAATACTCATTTAAATGTCAAATAGCAGACATATTAATAGACTTTTTCTAAAAAAATTTTTGTAACATTTTGTAACGTTTTTTTCCTTTTTTAAAAAAAATATATTATTTCTTGATATTATTTCTTAACGTGTGCAGAGAATGCTTTTATTTATACACAATCGAATTTTTTTAAACTAAACTACTTTACTTTATAAATAGCTAAAATTATTTAATATAAATGTAATTTCTTCTGTTTACGCTATTTTTTAAATATGTGTACGTGTGTGTATGTGTGTCACTTTTGATCTCTTTCACATATGCATAAAATGAAATTATTGAAATACAAAAATTTATGTTGGACATATATATTTTGTTTTAAAATGTGAGAATATTATAAAATGTGAGAATATTATAAATAAATGAAGATTAAAGGTGAAATTGAGAATAAAGATTTGATTAATTTTGTTTACGAGATTTTGAAATGACTCAACTGTAACAATATGAAAAAAATTATATTATAAAAATTCATACTAGAGTTTTATATTTCGTATTATTTCCCGAGTCGAAATCTTGATCTTACTTTGACACTTTTAAAACTAATTTGCACCTATTTAACAGATCTATATGCTTATACGAGTGGCAATAACCTACTTTGATGATATTATACTTGTTTACTCCTGCATTGAATTCTAAATTCTGTAAATTTTGCTTTAATGCTATTTTGAAACTAAAAATGCTGTCAATATTTTGATAATTAAAGTAGGTCCTACTGAAAGAGGATCTACTTTAATGCTAATTTTGCGAAAACAGAATTTTCAGACACTTTTAGGTTTTGAATAGGAGTAAATTCTATCCTTGCAATTGGACCTCCTTTACTATCTTAATCCCTATATATAATGAAATTGAAGGTTTATTATAGGGCCATAATTTCGACTCTTATTAAATTAATATGTTCACCTAATGTTGAACGGTAGATTTATAAATGCGTTAGTGAATGTATAAAACGATATCATTTAATACATAATCATTCTTTCTCTGCGAGCATTTAGTTGATTATACTTGTTCATAATTTTAAGAACTTGTTGGAACAAATATTTCGGCGCAACTATAAAGATGCCAAAATTAAATAAAATTTAGTTAAAATTCGTTAAGAAAAGATATTTTTATATATTTTTCAGCCTCATTTTCTTCTTTAATTCATCTAATCACAGTTTAAAAATTATTTACGCCTCGATATCTTTGTTCAAATAAAATCATTTCAATTGTTGACAAAAAATACTGTCAAATAATATAGCCTCCTGCTGTCAAATAATGTCACGTGAAAATGTATTTAAACCAGTCTTAATTAAAATTAGCTGGAATCATTCTACTGTGGTGGTAGATAACTTCGATCGACGTTGGTTGGGACGATTTTTGGTCCCGGGGGTCTAATAAGAGGCCTCGTTTCGCCGGTTGCAGCAGCGCCTAGCCTGAATCCAGCTCGATATCCGTTTTCGTCAGCGATGTAGCTTGTGAATACAAAGATTACTTTATGTCTCATGTCATTTTTATATCTTCTTTTGAAAATGTTACGAAAAATATACGCTTTTATATCTTTTATTACAATATTAATATTTTATTAAGAACTATCTTATTTTTTAAATTAAAAATTGCAAAAAAATGATTAAAAAATCTGTATTATTATTTGACATACAAATATTCTTAAATATTAAAGTTATTCTTAAATGATTGTCAATGTTTTTAAATCCAAATTCAAATTCCCATTTTTTAAACTTAAATAACAGTTAAATATTTGAAAAACTTTGACCTTAGATTGAGATTCAGCTCAGAATCGAACTTACAAAAACATTTATCTTATATAAGATATATAAGATTTTTAGATATATCTGATTTATATAATTAGAACAATTAAATAATTAACATGTTATAACACTCAAAATATTAGATTCTAAAAACTTAAAAAAAGTTTATATATCACGATAAATATATAGAGTATATACTTACTGAACGGAAACGGGAATTCCTTCGGGACTCTTGTAGGCAAAAGATCCCTCCACTACTCGGACTAATTCGCCATCCACTAGTTTGAAGGTGGCGGTCTCCTTCCTCTCGACACCATCCTCGTTAACAATATTAGTGGAAGCCGGTGGACTCGCGGCACCTTTTGGTTCGCTCTCGAAGGGTGGTTTCAGGATCAGACCACCGGAACCACGCGCGAACAGTGGCGCTATTTGATCCGGGGATAATTTTTCGGTAAAGTACACCGGGAATGATAGCAAACACCAAATCTATAAAAAAGAATTAATTCGTTAATTATAAAATGTAAATCTTAATTTTGCGTATTTTATAAATAATATATTTGCATATTTTATAATATTATACTATATATTATTTACTTTCTTTTTTCAGGATATTATACAGAATGTCTACTCAAATTTTGTAAAAAAAATTTCTTAAAAATGTCTCAATCTTCCGGGGCATTTTTATTCAAAATTTCAAATAAGGAGATTATTTTAAAAATTTTTTGATGCAACTTTTGAAAATAAATTCTTTGTTGTACGGTTTTTAATGTTTTTCTTTCATAAAAAGGAAAACATAAAGCCATTTAAGTTTCAAGTGTTAAATTTGTAAATATAGTGAAAAAATTAATAACTTTCCTAAGATATACATTTTTCATTTGCATAATATTTTCATTTTTTTTATTATTAAAAATGATCATAAAAAATATTTACTACATATTTAATATTTTATTAAGAAATTAAATTTATAAACAAAGGTAGATACATACTATATATTTTCTAACATATTTTAAATATATAATTCAATTTGGTTTTTCAAAGAGTTGTTTACAATATAAGAAAATTATTAAAAAGAGAATTTTTTTAAAATTCCTCTCTTGTGTGCCAATAAAATTCCATTTAGAGAATTTCCTGATATTTCCAAATACAAAAGAAGCCCCTGAAAATTCCAAGTTTTCTATGTTTTTTCAAGGAGTAGGCACCTCGTTGTAATTAAATAAATAATAATTAAATAAACAATTAAAAGAGAAGTTGTATTAATTCTACGTGAAAAAAAATAAATCGAAAATTGTAGGATACATTTTCTTTTGGAAACTTCTTTTCGAGAAAATGGATTTCGAGAATTGACAAAGTAATAACATCTTTCCTCGTCTTTGAGGTGTTAGATAATTAATGAACTACATCTATCTACAAACGACCGAGGGTGACCCCGCGACCGATGCGGCGCGCCACGTTGGATAATCAGCAATCTCCGTTCGTCGCGCATGGTGATGATGGTGGTGGATCCTTCTAAAAAGGACACTTTCTACTTAATCGATGACCGACCGGCCGGGCCTGCGTTTGAAACGCTTCGGGGCTCGATAACCGGCCGCGCGATTATGAAGACGCAATCGCGAGCTTCGCATCGTCTCGAAGGAGTGGCATCGGAAATCGCGCACTATTTCAACGAAGATGAACTCTCAACCCTTGATGCCACGCTGTATATTATAAGAGACAACCGATATTTAACAGCGGTATCTTTTATCTGAGAAAGATGTAACTGGTTTCCTAAAAAGATTCAGCACTTGAGTTATTAATCTAAAGGCTGTTATTAACCAGTTTTCCGAGCATAGAAATATAAATATGAAAGGGAAATTTAACAAAAAGGTTAATAACGGAATGTCGCTTATATTGTGTCATTGAAGATTCGTAGAAATAGTTACGACATTAGCTATCAGATTAAATAGCAATTAACACGACATTAAAAAAAAGAGAGAAAGAATACCTATTAAATCGACGTACAAAATATTTGTATAGAGATTAAATTAGCACATCATTAATTTATGCGCTCCAAAAAAATTAATAAAATTCTACATTGAAAATATGAAAGATTAATAAAACATTAATTAAATAATTAAGATTAATAAAACATTAATTAAATAATTAAAAAGATTAATGAAATTCTAACGCTTTGATACATTTTGAAATTTAAAATAAATAAATCTAAAGCATCTGTCGCGCGTGTAATTTTAGAGACATCGATTATCAAGACTTCTTTATTTCTTTTATATTCTCATACTTATCGAATTATGCCTCACGTGCGATGCAAACGATTCAGTTAGTGCGGTCGTATATTTTCCTCAAGATGCAAATGCATCGCGCGTTGCAATGAGGTTGCGCGCGAGCGCAAAATTTACGAGCGATTTGCGCTGTTCGTGTAATCAGTCGTGAATGGCATGCAGCATCCACAGGAATTCTGGTAGCAGTTCTCCGGTGAAGAACTTCGTCTAAATGTAATTTACAACGACGCGCGACACATTTTATATCTTTCTCATTGGAATGCATTGCCGAATTTAGTTGTGAATGGATGTCATACCCTATTGTTTTCACAAAAATATAACAAAAAGTTACAGCATTATATTTTGAAATAGCAATTAAATAATAATTTAATAATAAAGTTAAAATATTATCAAAGAAAATTTTAAAAAAATAAAAAATATATCTTATAATTATAAAAAATTATTGTCAAACATTATAAAAATTATCTTTTTTTATTCTCTATTCTCTGTTATTGATAAAAGGCTATCTTTATTGACAATATATAGCAGTAATTAAATTTGTTTCTCTCCTAAATTTGTTTACCTCACATGTTAAATGCAAACCAAAAAATATGTAATATAATAATATGTATGAGCAAAATAAAAATACATATCCTAATAAATAAACTAAGATCCTATCCTATCCTATATGAAAAAAGGCATGTGACGCTTGAATTGTTGCCGTTTTTCCGCGATGCCGATTGGTTCTTTTATTGCGCTCAATTCATGTTGTGAGCAGCTGTCATTTGCGATTATTACAAATTTTGACAAATTGTGACAGTGAGAAATGTATATATAATAAAAGGCGCGCGAAGCACGCACTTTGCGTTGTCTAGTATATATAAAGTATAAATATTAAATATAAAATATAAATATAATATATATATATATATATATATATATATATATAAATTTTTTGCGCGCGTTACGCAGAATTTTTCTCCGCAAAACGTACCAGCGAATGGATAATCCCGCGACGACCCATCGTGATTATCAATTACGATGACGATAACGACGACGAAAACGAAAAGGACACTTCGCACTGCATCACCCGGAACGCGGTTCTATATCTCGCATAGACATACCCTCTTTTACACCGAGACTATATACAAAATCCTGTCGGCGAATCTGTACACCTGCGAGCCCCCAGCCTTATATACCCGATGAAAACGATCGGACGCTGTTCCCCCTCTGATCATTACTTCGAGAAGACGACCTGCGCGAATGTCTATTTGCGACTCGCGATGTGAACAATCATCACCGATTGTTCATTCTGTACATTGTATACATGTTATTTATAAGTTGGGGAACATTGTTTGAAAATATTGTAACAAGTACTGTAAACAAGTCAATGAATTGAAGGATTATTAGAGAAAATATCGACTTATGACAGAAGTGAAATGTCATTTAGCAATCTCGTTGCACATATCGGTAGTGAGAGAATACTTCGTCAATAGTAAGAGGTAAATCCTACTTTTTATGAGGGGGAGTAAATCATTATTTATCGGATTAATTCTCGTGCGATCAATATTTTTCTGCTATTCACATTCGTTAAGTGTCATTTACTAGATAATCTGTATAATTGCAAGAATCACGAATCATTAGTAATTTGAAACCTGATGCGTTATTTTTATTAGAGAAAAATCGGTTTTGAAGTAGTCATAAATTACTATCATGCAAAGTATACAAGAATTATAAACACCCTCGTAAGTGTCATAACAGATGAAGTAAGATTGAAGTATTATCCGAAAAAGATTAATTTTTTCATTCAATTAATAAATAAACACACACAACTTCTATGTCGGCGACTTAAATTTTCAATAAAAATCCTCCCATCAATGAATATCAATTTTCATATGATTAATAATAAATATGCCTTAAAAGCGCAAATCTTTCATTAACTCATTCTGTATTTTTTTATATACTTATATATTAAAAATTATTAATATTTAAAATTATTAAAAATTAAATAAAATTATTAAAATATTTATTTATGAAAAAATCATCAATGGAATTTTTATTTGTTAATTTAAAGTCTCTTTGAATCTTAGAAATAATTCAATTACCTTTGCTACTTATCGTGCTTATAATAAAGTGGCGTTAGAAGAATGAATAGATATGCAAGTCTAAATGCATCGGGAGACACACGTGGATTTATCGTCGCCGATTTAAAAGGCCATTGTTGTCACGATCATCCCGACGATCTGGCTCGTTTTAAGGGCACGCGCATGAACAATGCGATCTCTGAACCTTTAATAGGATACGTTCGCTTTTAATAGGATGCACCGCCGTTTCTGTTGACATTTTATTTCTGCCACCGATATCGAACCAATTGTCAAACCCATTGCATTCCGACAACAGTAGCGACCGATACCGATCCCATGAATTGAATCAAGAAAGAAAGGAATTTGAGATAATGTTACACGTATTTTATAATAAAACAAATACACTCTTAATGGAAAGATTTTGCTGTTCAAACCATACCAAACTCTTTATTCAAATTCAGATACGTGATAATCTATTAATGTAATGAAATCCTTCCTTCATTAATTGAACCACTATCGATAAATTATGAGATTATCCCCGAAGAAGTCGAAGTCTCGAAAAATTAAGAAGCCAAGGATTCAAAGATGTATGACGAAATCTTATCCTTCGATTATATTTAATCGTAGAATGCGAATTTTTGACTGTAATGTTGTAACTATGAAGATTATCAATATACTGGAGAACGAAATGCGACGCCATCACTCTCGAAGTTACATAACTTTGGCAAAAGGTTCGATACACCTCCTCTCTCGTTGAAGAGAAGTCTCGAGGAGATGTACAAAAATATTCTTGCGCAACGCGAGCACGACGTACATGTAAAATTATAGTCCGGTATTCACGCAACGACGCGATATAATAAATAAAATGTTATTCATCGGGAATTTTTACCGCGAAAAGTGAGAGAGTAAGTCGTAATCGTCGTATTATTCTGATTTATCTCTTGATGTTTCTACTAATAAAATTTAATGTGGACAAATTCTCCAAGATTGAAACATATTAATATCACTTTACGCATTAAATGTTAATTAATTTGCATATCGTCTTAACTGTTGTATATCAATTTATCTGTCGTTTCCTTTTGTAAAAAATGATAAATTAAATATATTGTTCAAACATCTTGAAGAAAATAAAGGCTTTTCTCCTTCGCATAAAATAAGTGTAACATAAGTAATTAGATTATTGTTTCGATTCATGAGATAAAGTCTAATTTATATACAATTTTTTCATCTATTATTTTTTAATCATAATAATCAACTTGTCGAAATTATCGAAAAATTTGTCTAGAATTTCTTAATCTCAGGTACGAGAGAACTATAATTGATTTATTACTTCTTTTTATCTTGATCATAGGCGCCATAATCTGTCAGAAATTGTCTAGAATTAATCAAGTTAGCATAATTTATGTTTGTGCAAGAGTCTGAAAGCATCTTTGAACAGACACTGACCGTTTCGTATTCGATCATCGATTCACTATCATTTCATAATTTCATCCGTTTCTTCCCACGACGCTTGCTCAAATGTCAGTTTTAAAGATATATGTATGTGCATATACGCGAGGATCAAAACCGGAAAGTATATAAATAAATTTTAATAAATTTTAATTATATCATATCTTAACGCCAATCAGTAAAAATCACATGACTCTGGTTAAAGTTTAATATGTAACAATAGGGGATCAAGATATTATCGCATTGTCCTTATGAGACATCTTATGTAGTGAAAGGGGAGATAGCAAGTTTCTATTCTGCACGTTATATAATACGTTAATCGAATTAATCAATACGCACATATAAGACTATGTCTTATTACAGTTTCTTCTTTCCCAAAAATGCAAAATTTAGTCATGTAAAAGATTTTATAAAAACAATAACAGTGAAGAATAAATTTCTATTATTCAATCTAACAAAAAATGTGAATAATTTATCAACAATATAATTAAACAAGTAAATAAAATAGCCTTATTAAAGATAGTGGGTCAAACTACTCTAGCACGCTTCTCGTTCGGTCTGATAATTGTCGTGTTCGCTCGTAGTTTATTTTTAATTATCGCTACGACGTTCGAGAGTATCACGAGGATGGTTGAGGGGATCGTGAATGAAACGAGCAGTGGCGCGTATTGGAGCACGCGTACGACGCGAGTTACCGAGACTGAGATTATAGCTGACATACTTTCGTGTATCGATCCTAAATAGGTAGCCAACTCCCTGCAAACCAATAATGGCACGATAAACTGCGCGTTTATTTAACGATAATTAATACGCAAGAGAACATACTTAGTTATTTTATAAAATTAATTGAAAAAAAATTACAAATAATACAACATATAAATATAATAAAATAATAACAATTAATCAAGACAAATATATATAAAATTAATAACATAATTGATTTAAATATTATCCGATAATAATTTAAAAATTTATATTTTACATAATGTAAATAAATGAGAAGAATACTGAATAGTCATTTTTAGATGAACTTTTATCACGAAAAGATTAGTAATAAGAAACTTAAAGAGGTCGTTGCACCAATAAATCAATCATTGGCAAAACGCCAAAAAGATTAATGCCCCTAGATAATAACATCCTATTGTAAATGAAACAAACCTGGATCTCGTAAAGATGTGTGCATATCACTATATATCCCGTGTTTGTAGTATCAATTAACATAATCTCGGCTGTCTTCAGGATTTCGTCACTTGACGTTCATCGGCGAAAGGATCGCAGATTGTGAATCTGTCCAAGTATATAATGGATGCATAGAAACATAAAGAAATATCGTAGGAAAAACAGTGGAAAATTATAAAACGCGCTATTTTATAGTTTAATTCCTTGCATGGCGAAATCATCCATTAATTTCATCCATTAAATCTTGATTATGTATAGATGGCAAAATTTATTGCGTAGCCAAACAAAATAATATAGTTTTGATATTTACATCATTTTATAACATCGCACGATTATCAATAATCGACAGATTTTTTTTATTAGCTGTTCTATAGAAAGAACATTTTCAATGTAAAACTTTTATTTGTATATATGTAAAGATTTTAGTTGCAATTTCTTTTCCAATGTTTTTAAATTATGGAATTTCAAGATATGGAAAATTTCTTGAAATAGTAAAAGAATTCCTCTTCCTCGATAAAAAGCGAGTCAATAACGCATGATATTTACAAGCGAATAACGTGTTAATGTGTGTCATTGCAAGTTTATATGATGGATGAAGTCGAGAGGTATTTCGAATTGATCAGCTGTTTTGCATGCTCAATAAATAATTCATTTTTCGTAATTCAGACACTTCAATCAACATCATGTGAGTCACTAATGAGCAGCAATATAAGAGTATTATAATTTTTAGCTACGCGTTTCTCTCCAAATTTATATTTTCTCTTCGTAATTTATTATTTCGTATTTTTTTGAAAAGGAAACTCTTGAATGCCGAGAGGATGGGCGGTGATTTATTGGAAGTTGTTGGCCTACAAGAAGAGATCCGAAGAATCACAAACTCATAAAATTTTTATATATTACACAACAAATTATATAGTTATGACAGTAATTTCGACAACTAACATACTTTAAATTTGTGATATTTTGGATCCATCTTTGTAAACCTCGTATAAGTAGTCGCAATACATTCTTCACATGTTATTTTTTTTTAACAAGACATTTAATATTCGTTTAATATCTGTAAGCTCAGCAGAGTCAACATTTTGCGTGGGAACAGACGTTAAGAGGTTCTCGTGTGTAGGTATGCGCGTTACAGATCTCTCTCGTTTGCACTGCGCTGCGCAAACTGCGCTCGATCGCTCTTCGCGGCACGCGAAATATCGAACATTTCCGGATCCGTCAAAATCCGGAGAATTCTTTTGAAGATTAACGTAAGCTATGAGAAAACACGTTGTAAGAAAGAAGCAGATAAAGAATGGGAAAAGTAAAGATACTGTTTCATACTATTTTCTATGAGACTAAAACTAAATTATTTTATATTGTTTAATATAAATTATTAATATCGCAATAGTTTTTAAAAAGGAGCACATATTTTACAATTCAAAATTCAAATTTCTAACAGATTCAGTATCGCGTGGTATACTCCGCATGCAACGATATATATAATATCCTTTTTCTTGATATTATTGCGTAGGATTTAAAACAACTACAATATATATAAAAAGATGTTTTTTTTAATCGCCGCCACGAAGAGTTAACATCTCCCGATACCTTCGACTAGTTCGCACAATAAATTGTTTTCATCCATTAAAAATCGCCATTGTAGAAGCAGGAGGCGCCGAAATGTCTCCCTCGAGCGGCTCGTTAATTAGGAAAATAGTATCTTCGATACCGTTCAAACAATCCGGTTTCTCTCCCCGGCACCTCACGCACTTCCGCTTCGCTGTCAATCAGGGTGAGTCGAATAATACTAAAGTGTCTCGATTTTAATGACAGATTCTGTAATCAATTTGAAGTCAATCGCTCTATCGTATCTTTAACTAGCAAACTTAAATTATATAATACTATAAAATCCATCGTCACAAAATATAAATTTTAAATCGATTCGCCCTGATCAAACGCGGAACTCATTAACGCAGATACACAAAAATCATGGGCGTCGTGAGAAAAGTGCAAGAAAACGCATTTATACCCATTTGAGTTTCCGAAAATGACGAAAATGGTGAACAAACGCTTATTAATTCATTTTATAAAATACTGCTATTAATAATATATTCAAATATAAATAAAAGACTAAAAGAAGAGTCGTCACAAATTCTTTTCAATTCAATAAAACGCACATTTTCACGTACCTATAAAATAATCCTGACCAAAGGATTTTATATGATATTTCAGAAGATAGCTAATAACGATCCTGCGATAATAATGATATGTGAGCCCCGATGAAAAATTCTAGCGGCGCCCATGACGATAATTAATGAAATGTATCTAGATACTCGGTCGAACATAACGAAGCTTCAAGATCGAACCCTCGACATGCTCAAAAGGCGCAGTTCTCTTCATCATGATTGATCATAAGAGAAGAGTTAACTTTCTCTCTTTCTTTCTCGACCTTAAAAAATGTGATATCGCAATAAAATTGACAATAGAATACTTGCATAATCTCTTATAATAAAAAATCCATATATTTTGATCATTGTAAAAAAAATTCGAGATTAATTTCATATTCTTCATAACAGATCAGACTGAGAGATAATTTGAGGGCAACTAACAATTGATTCAACGACACATTTTGAAAGAGACACGCGTGGAGGATGCAAAGAAATGCATAATAAATTTATTATAACCACACCATTCAATACGTTAAGCGTCATTTGTATCCGCGCAAAAATAATCTTCTCTTTAGAATTTCGTAGATAAAATTAGAAATACTATCAACGAGCTGCCTTATTACTAAATAGTAGTACGTAAATAGTAGTTACGGGGAATCAGCATTAATCTTCACGAATGTAAAGATTATATATCAAAATCCTGCAATACGGATTTTTCAGAAATGCAGTAAAAGTAAGCGAAAGACCAAATTGTCAAGAGTAATAACTCTTCAAACAAAAAATCGTTAAAAACGATTAAAGAGATAAGAAATGATAGAAAGATATAAAAAAATTTTATCTACGAAATTCTCCGATAAATTTAATGAAATAAAATGCTTAGCTATTACATAAACTGTGTGTCAAAAATCACGAATTCTCTCTTGATAAAAACTAGTTCTTGAATTATAACTGTAAAATACTGCAAATAAAATCGTAAAATCCATAAAATAATGAAGATTAAATTCTAAACTGATAAACGAATTCAGATATAATAAACTACAGTGTATCTGGCACTCTCTGTACACAATGATGTTTAATGCGTCGAATATCCCTCGCAGTGCATTAAAGAATGATCGAAGCCGCTGAGTTAGCTTCCTCATATATGATGATGTATTTCGCACCGAGATCTACTGGACGAGTGACGTCCTACGGAACTTTACATTGCCTTATCGCGCACTTCTCTCTTTTCGCTAATCATTTCATTCATCCTCATCTTTTCCTTTTTCTCTGTCGTACACTCGCGCTTTCTCTCACGCATTCTTTCTTTCTCTTACTCTATCGTTCTACGCGCACGATGCATTCTCGAAATCACGATAATCTTGACGATAATTAACCACGATAGTAAAAGCATATAAGCTATACAGCTACCATTCTGTATCTACAATATAGTTTTGTATGTATAATATATATATATAGATTTCTTTTTTTTCCTCTTTCTTTTTTCTTTCCGTTTCTTTTCTATCTTTTCGGTCTTTCGCGCCATTGTAAAACGTGTCACTATATCGAGAAACGGTTCAATGTTCGTTCGCGCACTAATTTTCCTCTCGTTTAATCTTTCACGTGGACCATGTAATTTTTTCCCGTGCCCGGAGATAATTTAATGAGAGTTCAATCTTCCTCTATAAGAATTTATTTTTATTGTTATTTTTTTAAGACATTTTAAAAGAAACTTCAACTTCCTGAACCTCTTCAAATTTGTCTGTTCTCTTCATTCTTCAAGTTTTGATCAACCCAGTGTGCTGGTTAATCAAACCTTTTGCGTTTTTCCCTTAAAGTATTGCTTCTCGTTTTCCTTCGTCGAAAGTTCTTTGCGATTAAAAGACGCAAAATTTCTTTGACATTTCATTCGATTTCATTATCCATTTCAACTTTAGGTTTTCAACAACCTGATACTTTTTTATCTATCCCTTCCTCGTAATCACATACATTCTCTTCATTTCAAATATATCTTTCTATGTTTTCCCAATATCATTTTTTTACCATTATAAAGATGAAACTCTCTTTTGTCTTTCCGAGAAGTCATCTTCTGTCTTCAGGTCCCAAGCATGTCCAGAATGCTAGCGTTTTTTTTGTGCTCGGAACGGCATTTCTTTCGAGACAATTATCTCCAGTTGTTTCTTCATCGACGCGTCCTTGGTGCGTCTCTCGTCTCATGCTCTTCGATGCTTCGAGCTGCCCAGCTGCGACTTTTACGGAAGCCTCGAAACCGAAGAGTTCCTGAAATCACACTCCCAACAGTAGAGGAGGATCCGTCTCTCGCGTGCACGTCTCTGCCGCCTGCATCGCGCAGTCATTACTGCAGCACGCAGCATTTGCACTTAGGCTTCTTCTTCAGGGTGACGTGCTCGACCTGTGACGCGTCGCCTGGACCTTGCGCCGTCATCCTTGCAACCTCCACGGTCGCGGTTCTAGACGATGCAGCGACCTGAAGCATCAACGGAAATATTTCATCTTAACAAACAATTATTAAATTATGAAATGATGCATCTGGGTCGTACTTTATATCTTTTAATCTTAATATTGAAGATTTAATTGGATAGATTGTTAGATTTTATTTAGACATTGTTCGAGTGATTGGGTTATATTAAAAATATATTGGCTTAAATTAAGAAAGATTGCATAAGCTGCTGACCAGTAATATATTTTTTATTCCTCACCTTTTCATTGACAGGCTGTTGATTGCTTCCGCCTTTGGCGGGGGTTCCACCATGAGCGCTGCCGTTTTCTTGACCGGGCCTAGGTGATGAATGACAGTTCGCGGATTTGAGGAGTGGACTGGTACTCGACGAGTCATGCTCGGCCGATTTGCCAGTGGCATCGCATCCCGGCAATGGCGGCGCGTTTTGACCTGGGGTCGGCGTGATCGGCTTCCCGCCTTTTATCAGCTCGACAATCTCATCGGCTTCGCGGGAAAGATCGCCATCCGGCCTGAATGGATTGTCCCAACCGCTGTCCGTGCTAAAGTTAAAAAACATTTTCGTAGCATTCAGTTCCCTTCAATTTCTTTTTTCGTTCATATGAAAAATTTTTAAATATTCAAGATAATTTGTGAAAATATATTTTTTTATTCAAATCTATATAAATATAAGATAAAGGCTCTTATAGAAAATTGTTGAGATAAAGTCATCACTTCTTTTGTAAGTTTTTAACTATTAAATTCATTAAATATTTTTAAATGTTAAAGATGTTTTTCCTTTGAAAGCGTGGAATTAAAATTCATAATTTATTTAAAACTAGAATAAAGAGAACACGAGTAACTGCATTATTTATACTTTTTTAAATTGAATTAATAAAAAAGATTATTTTTATTTATTTATAAGTAAGTGTAAATGAAACTAATGACATCATATTATGAAAATTTTCTTTAAAAAGGAATCTGTTACAATTTTATATCAGAATAAAAAAAATAACTCATTAATATTTTATATCATATAATGAATGTATGGCACGTGTTGCTATCATATGAGATCTTAATAATGGATCTTACTGTATCAATAAAACGCTTTGTATGGAAAAGATTTCGAATACGAGATAAAGATCGTTGATACGCTGGGAAGAAACTGCTTCAATGAATGAAACTGAGATTATTTAAGCAAATGTAAACTTCACAGATTACGTTAATGCATGACAGAAAACTTAAGATATCATTTATAATTTGCAACAGTGAAAAACTATCAAATTTATTCAATTTACCTTGAAAATTTACGCGAATTCTGAATATTCGGAAAATGGATTTTTCGAATTTGCATCTTTTTATTTTTCGAACACAAAGATATCGCATATATATTTTAATTTCAGTCAATGCTGTTAATAATTGTCCGCTATGAATAACAAATACGTAGAAAAAAATTGTAAAAGGCTCTTCCTTCCGTAGCTCGTTTTCTCTAATTAAATTCCAATTCATGGAGCGCTAATTACGGAATGATTATCTTGGAGTGAGCTTCGCGTCAACACGAGTCCGTGATTCTCAAGATATACCGTAGATAAGAAAAGTCGCAACAAACGAGAATGCAACTTTACGTCTGACGAATAATTATACAACTACTTTGAAAAATATGGAAACACTTATCGTAAAAAAAAATAAAAATTTCATGAACTAGATATACGATAAAATAAATGGAAACATTTATATTATTCTTTACAAATTCAAGTATTTCCGTGACACGTAAATACATATTGATCATACACACTTTTTACAGCGATTATTTTATTTTTTTTTTAACAATAGAAATACCAAGCTTAATTTATATATTTTATAATACATTTTATATATTAATTATTAATTTTATATATATTAATTATTTTATATATATTAATTATTATTCGTATCATTTATTGTCGATTTATCGCTACAAGATATTTACCGCCTTACTCGTCCACGATGTCACGCAAAAGAAGAGATATCAATGCTATTAAATTTAAATAAAGCATCTCTATTTTAAATATACAGCTAGAGCAACATACCAATTAACTGCAGGCGCAGCGCGAATGTCACGTCGAAGTAAATTACGTTCAATTGTGCGATCGCCGCGCCTGCCCCGACGACCATGACATTAGCATCGGCATTGTGTGCTGCGCTTAATTGCGCCGTTCCCGTTGGTGCACTGTTACTCGCCTCGCTATCGGAGCGCACGTGCGCCCTCGCGCGCATCTACCTACGTGTGTACGCGAACTTCCGGCCGATTTGCACGGTGCTTCCTGATCGCGGAGGAAATTAAACACGCTGAGCTGCTCTCAGGGCCGCGCAATTCGCTCGCGATTAAATTAAAGTCGCGAAATTCAGAGGCACAAGTGACATATTGAAAGTATTATCGCGTCAGTCTTTTTTTTAAATATTTCATAGATAGACACAATTCAAATATAATGTTTTATTAAAATTCGCTAATATACTTTATTATAATTTGATCTATAATTGCCGTATAAGTTCGCGCGACTGTCATTATTCGATCGAATTTCTCGATCTTTGACAGTTAATTTCCTGTTATCGATTTAATGTGTATATATGTTTCTTACACTGAGAGTCTATACGATGGGATTATCGCTATTGGAATAAGGTCTAGTCTAGGATAGGAAATGAGGCTCGATTCAGATTTCCGACAAGACGACGATCGCAATCGATACAACTTCTATTTTTCCTCGAATTCTTATAAGATTATCCGATCAATTCGAGATAATCTTGCTAAAGGCGATTCAGGACTCGATTGAGTTTCTTTTATCCTTTCGTTTCTTTTATTATCCTTTTCTTATATATATATACGTTTAATCATTATTTTTAAATACGTTTACGTTGACAATTTTTCTATTTAATTTAAAAATTTTCTAAATAATATAACAGATAATGAATCGAATATTATATACAATTTTTCACATTAAATTATTTATTAATTAAATAATATTAACTAATTTGTGCTAATGATCGAAAATATTGAATGTTATTAATAAATTATGTTAAGTTAAATCAATTCCAACGTATCCACAATTATTATTTAAAATATTCTATTTAACACTTTTCGATATCATTATAATTTAAACAAGAAGAAATTTGAGACTAATATAAATCAAATAAATTGTAAAATTGTTGTGTGTATATGTATATATATTAAAGAATAGATTTATTTTTTAACATTTATTTTGTTTCTTCTAAAAACGATGATTTATGAATTTATCACAATATATTAAACTGTTAAGTAAAAACCAAGGCGCAATAATTGGAGCGCAAAAAAAAGAAAACTTTTTTTTAGTGACATATATATATATATAATTTAAAATACATTAATAAAAAAGAAGAAAAACGAAGTCTTTTCTTACGCTCTAATTATCTCACCTTGGCTCTTACTTGCTAATTTTATAATTTAGTAATGATATTATTACTTTGAGCTAATTCTTAAATTTTTATTTATGTATTAAGAATAATTTTGTACTCTTTTAATCGCAAATTGCTCCTTTTTCGCGATATCAAATGCGACCGTCGCCATTCGTTGGCAAATCTCTAGTTGATATGTAACCATCGTCTACATCTATATAGTTAGCCAGGGGTTGAAGACCCCCGAGAAAGAGACGTCGTTCTTTGCTCTTTGAGCCGACGCGGCGCATAGTTCGAGCATGGCCGCACAGCGATCGAACCTAGTTGACTATTCTCGTGATGAAAAGAAAGCGAGACGTGAACCAAAGACGTGGAGATGGGAAAAGGAAGCAAAGGAAAGCATGAAAGGGAATGCGGAAGGAAAGCAAGAGATGAGGCGATGAACGAGAGGAGATCAAAGATGAAGAGTACCGTTGTACATGAAATGTCGTTCTAGTATATTCAGATAATTTCCGAGAAAAGAAAAACACATAAAAAGGATGGCATTTCATTCTGTCTATACGATTTTATAAATTTATCATTTATAATATAATTTATAATATAATTTAAGAATCGCAAACGTCTCGCACACAAGAACTGAAATACATGTTTGAAAAAATGCTCAATGATTAAAAAACATTATGTTACATTTTTTGTAAAACTGGAACTTTGCGACATTTCATATGCAGCGATTTAACGGATGATGCGATGGGAACAATGAAGAAACCAACAAAGATCTACAAAAGAGATACTGAAAGAGACCGTGCTTATGTAAAGGAGCTGACGAGTACGATTACCTCTCGTTGCCATCAGTGTCCTTGGGCACCTTAATCACGTAGTACACGTGGCCGCCGTGGGTGGTCGTCATTTTTCGATTGTACCCAGCAACATTTGACAGCGGCAATTTCTGCGAGATTTCTCTCCTCTCTTTCTCTTTCTATCTCCTTCCTTCACTTTCTCACGCTCCACCGAGCACGAAGTCGACTCTCGTATACTTCATCGTGCCTTCACTTTCATAAAAACTCCAGATTAACCAGAAGACCGATCGGAACGTCCTCGCTTCGACGAAGAGGAACTTGGCCGATTTCGCGCAAACAAACTTGAAGAGCAATGTAAGATTTTATTTTTAAGCGCCTTCGCGCGTAGCGGGAGATCTCTTCTTCCTCTCTCTCTCTTTCTCCCTGAGATTTGCTCCTTTCCTTTCTCGTACTCAGCGAGAAAGAAAGAGAGAGAAAGAGAATCGCGCGTTATTTCGGAGTTGGTTACGCTTGCCAAAAGGAAAACCTTCCATCGAGTATGTTTTGTGTTTTGTTCGATACGAAATCGTCTATCGAGTGTTTATCCAATTCTCTTCTGACGTAAAAACCATAAGATTGATGGAAGAATCGAACGTAAACGATATCTTCCGGAATTAGCACGAAGACTCACAATCAATGAAAACAACAAGATGTATTGGTTTTCTTCAGCAGCATATCAAGCACAAAAGTATATAAAAGCATATCGTCTTGTGACGAATTTTTAGTAAATGAAACGTATATTTTTTCAAGATACATCAGAAAGTATCACGTAAAGATAATTTTTTCTAAAAAAAAAACAAATATATAAAAATTAATTTTATACATTCGTTTTCTTTGGAAAAAATTATCTTTAATTTAAAAATTTATTTTTATATATTCGTTTTTTTTAGAAAAAATTATCTTTAATTTAAAAATTAATTTTTATATATTCGTTTTTTTTTTTAAGAAAAATTATATTCTCTTATGTACCTTGAAAAAATATACGTTTCATTTACAAAAAATTCATCTACTTTACATATATTTTAAATATGTACGTACATATATTAAATTATCGTAATGTAAATAACTAATAAAAGAAAAGGATATATATTGCGATATTTAAATAGGTTTTTCTTTTCGATCTAATCAATCAACCATTTGCCTATATTTAATTCTTTTATATACATTAATGTGTCTTATCTGACATATTTCTGGGATACTTCATGATAATAACTCAACATGTCGCCGAACAGGCTTTGCCGGGATTCGCTTCCGTCACATGAAAGTTGCGGCAGATTTGTACGGATGTGCGACCTATTTCGGGAAAGTCCGTGACCCAT